AGGTAAGTAAATGGCAGAGATGATAATATTCTTGACTAAATTAGTGGACTAACTTCCAATAAAGTGAAACAAATAGAAAACTTGAACTTTTAGAAGGTAACCTTGTCAATGTAGAGAGAAAAAGAAGAAAAAATGAAAAAAAAAAAAACACACAAGGGAGGAAAAACAAATTACACAAATTTCAAACACACACACACACACAGTGTGAAAGACCACCTTTGAAATAACCTGAGGCAGTACTGACTAACTGTAAAATATAAAGTGTCTTGTAAAGGGATAAATGAGGTATTAAAAGAAAGCTCATTAAATAAATTCTACCTTACAATATTTCTCCCTATTTATTAATAACTTCTTAAAATTATTTTTTAACTAATACATTTGAAATTCAAAGGAATCACAGTAAATCAAAAATATGGTTTAAGCAATATTATCTGTATAACCAAAGTTTAACTAAGCTATGTCACTGTAATGATTTCAGTTTAAAAAAAGAATATATTGAATTATAGCACCATTTTGAATTTCTGTTATCAGTATTCTGCACCACAAGGCAGCATCATAAGTCTTCCATGAAGTAAAGCCAGAGTACACTAAATCAACTGCTATCACAATGATGACCCAAGAGAGGATTTCTACTGCCAAGATCCTGTAGCCTACGGTACTCACCTTGTCTTTGAAGATATGTGGATTTTGGTATATAAAATCACGGTAACTTTCTGTTCGTATTTTGTCCTAGGGTAAAAAGAGAAAATATTGTGTTTACAGAATAGTCTGAACAAACAAAAATTTTCAGGAAGATATTTTCTATTTTATCACACATTATTTGTTTCCATAGTTACTTTTAGCCTGGAAAACCAAGCTTAATTTTGTTTTCCTAAAAGAAAACAATAGAGAACAGAAATAATAACAATACACACAAAAAAGTTTAAGAACATCATTGAAAGTCAAATGAAATCTAAGTCAAATGAAATAAAATGTACACATTTGGTCTTGACATGCATTATCATTTTAAGACTTTGACTGATAATTAAAGCTAATAGCAGACGAACAGGACATTTTGCCCCCTTTAAATAGGTCCTGGAATCTAGACCCTGACTCCCTGTATTAGAGCTGTGTTAAAGTATCAGAGAAAAAAAAATAGATAAATGTAAAAGTTACAGTTACATATGAAAAATGAAGCCACACTGAGTATGGGTTTTCTAGGAAAGTCATTTGTCAGCACCTATCTGTTTTTTGTTTCTAAAAATGTCTGTTGTAGGAGATGATGTTTAAATGCCTAAAAGCTTAAAAGTAAATCGTTTGAGCCCTGCAGCCCACGTTATGAGACGTCTACACTCTGGAGTCGCACATGACCTGTGACTAAGTCAGGAACTAATGCTAACATTCATGCTGGTTCATCAACAGAGCTGATTCCCTATCAAATTATCTTGGCTGAGACACACGTGGACAGTACATTAAACGGTAAAGGTTCCTGTTGCCAAGTGAGTAAAATGGTATGATAAAAACATCTTAGACTGGGAATTCTACTTTTGGGTTTCACGCAGGTAAAACAAAGTACTTACACCAAATGCTAATATAAAATTTATACAATCCACACCCCCCAACAAAACGTTTATACCAATATTGGGATTTAAAATATACATATAAAGGAGTCTTAAAAGACAAACTGTTTTACTTAAATACTAGATTTAAAAAGGGAGAATTCCATAATTAATTCCATGCTTTCTGACAGAATTATTTTAAATGGCTTTACAAACAAAATTTTAAATCAGGCTTATTAAATCT